TATTGCAGGCATGGCACCATAACCGGAGTTAGAGTGGTAACCCATACCACCCATGTGCGGAACCTGAGGAGTCTGCTCGACGTGCATAATGTACGGCCGAGGATGAGGCTGAGGCGGAGGCTGATATCCAGCAAGGATCCGTTCCATTGCTTCCAGCCGGGCCCTCGTTTCTTCATCATTCTTCCGTTGCTGTTCAAATGCACGCTGCTGCTCCTCCAATTCTCGCTACAATTGGGTAATGCGTGGATCCTCTCCTCGCCTAGATTGAGAAGATGATGAAGCTCCGCTGCCGCTGCGATCGTACAAAATATGTTGCCCCTCAGCCCCGAGGCATGGAAGCCGACCCTTGTACACCCCTGTTGCCTCAAGGATGGCATCATCTTCCATATCATAATCGATGTCATCTTCTTGAGTCAAGCCTAGTTCCACCCGCTTCTTTTCAAGATAGGACTAAAATATAAGCAAAGTGCAAAAATGTGACTAAGTGTGCTTGATTAAAACTTCTTCAAATAGGAGTGAATGAGTCAGATTTTGGGAATAAAACAATGAAAGTAGTATTTGTGAACTTTATTATTGATTTAGTCCTATTTAAAGAATTTTCTCTTTTAAAAATGACGAGGGAAAGGGTAGAATAGGAGAGTTATTTCTATTTTGAGAAATTAAACTTTAAACTCGTATTCTTGCAATTTTGCTCTATTTAGTTCTAATAATTACGATTGTATTGAATTTTACAACAAAGTGAGTATGTATGATAATAAACTCATAATAATTGCCGTCACATTTCTGGTTCTGCCAACAAATTTATTTCAATAATATTTAGGAATTTCCAAAATCAAATTGTTAAACAAATAAAAACAATGTGAACTTGATTTGCAGTTTAAAATGGATTTTTTAAAGACAGTTTCAGAATGAATAGAAAAGAAGCATACTATGATGAACTTGATCAGACAACGAGTACAAGCCGACCATGTCGTCCTTCCTTGGATTTGGCAATTCACACTGAAAAAAATCTCCTGGCAACGAGCTCAGTTACCTTCTTACCTCTATAAATAACTAGGCTTCATGGATTTGGATTTTGCCCATAAGTATACGCCACAACTCCACAAGCCCACAACTCAAGTGTTTTGATTTGGAGGATAAAATGTTGAACAGAGAAGGGACTTATTATTACAATCCCCGAAGAGTATTACCTTGTGAAGGTAATCAAGTAAAAGTTGGAGTGGAGTTGGAGATGTGGATCTTGCGCCCCAACCAAGATGGTTTAGGGAAGATGAGATGTCCATAATGGTGTCTTCCTTGTCCGATGTCATGGCCGGTGACTCTATGAAGATCTGCGAGGATGACGACAGAAAACCTTGGTTGCCATTGCCACCGCCTAGCTATGATGATGACAAACCATGGTTGCAATTGCCAACGCCTAGCTGCGACGACAATCCATGGTTGTCATTGCCACCGCCTAACTACGACGAAGGTGGAAGTCTTAAGATGTATTCATGCTCTAGGAACTCCATTTCTTCATCACACTCTTCACGTGGAACTGAGCCAATCCCTGGATCATCATCAACAGATTATGGTGACGGTGTTATTGTTATTATTATTACTATTATTCTTACTACTCGGTATTACTTATAACATTATGGAAAACTTGCACACACACATTTATACACGCCTTTTACACATTCACTATATTTTATCGGTACCCATCAAACAATTCAGTTAAAAACACAAAATTTGTCTATGACACATATAAAATATATGAGCGTGTACAAGACGTGTACAAATTGACGTGTACACCATGGATTAGTCCATTTGTCCTACAATGCATGGGGTGTTTCGGATTTTTATGACGCTGAATTGTACTTAGCTTAGCTTAGCTTGAAAAATAAAATTATACACTAAAATTAACGTTGAAATAGACTACAAAAAGCAATTAACTGTAGTGATTATGGGTTTTTATGTGATATATACAATCAAAGAATAAAAGAGACTTTAAGTGATCAACCATATAATAAAACTACATCCAGTCTATTTTAACTACGTCTTATTGATTAATGTATTAAAAATATTATTATGAAAGATATATTGTATAATTTGTCTCTCATTGTACATAGATTTTCAAATTTTATTTATTTTCAACTTTTTTTACTAATAGAGAGATGTACTCTATAAGTCTATATATTAGTGATCAAAATACTGTGTTGACAAACATAAAAAAAGAAGTGTTGTATTTAAATGAGAACAGAGGTAGTAGTTAATATAGGGATTGCGTGAGTAGGGTTGAAAGTGCATAATTATTGTTGTTGTTGATATTATTATGAAATGTTTTCTAAAATATTATTAATAAAAAGTCATGGTAAAAAATGTGATCACTTAATAACTATTTGTGACTATAAATGTATTTAAAATTTACTTCATAGTCACTACGTCATAGTAACTTTGAAACACCATTATAGTCACTAGAACTTACTAATTCACCATATAGTCTCTATGTCATAGTAACTTTGAATCACTATTCTAAATTTTGTTCTACGTGCCCGACTAGTCCCCACCTAGGCTAGCTAGGTGGTGGTTGGGCGCCCCGATTTAAGTCTAGACGCTCCTCTTTATTGGTTTGACGCCTAGATGAACTAATCAGTCGCCTAGGGCATTGGGTTGACGCTCGACTAGCGCCTGTCTGCCTAGCGCCTTTTAGAACATTGCATTACTTTCAACATCATTATAGTTACTTTAAGTTATCAAATTACTAATACAAAATAAGTTATGATTACATAAATATCATTTGGAAAATTAGAAGTAATAAGTGAGGATAAATAGGAACAACAAAAAACAGATTTAGATAACGATTGAGTGGCATTTAAAAGGTGAACAATATTTTGGCTTAGATTGTGGTCTAAGTTAATAATTTATTTGAGCTTAAGGAAATTCTTTCATGGGGGGGTTAAAGCTAAATAAAAAAGCTAGTTGTACACGTGTTGTATATGTTGTTTTGTTGATGACTAACCATGTAGGTGGAATGGCGGACAGAACTACTCTCAGGTCCATTAGGAACGAGAATTGGAAGTATACTTAGTTCTGATCTATATGAATGATTGTTGTGCATAATGAATAAATTAATATGAGCCTGCATGATAATACCTCATCTACATGCCTAGATTGATCATGCATATTCTTAATATACGTGGCACAAGTTAAATATCTTTCCGTATATGACTAAGCACTCACCTCTATGAGTTGGCCTATATAGCTTATGGAAAGAATCATTATTAATGCTACATAAAAATCCACTATGTTAAGAATCCCGCACAAATCGACCGTAGCATATTTAGATCCACTAAGTAAACATTTCCTTATCACTTAATGCTACTAAGTCATTATATTATGGAAAGTATCTTGGGTTGCATGTTCTGTAGCACCTTATTTGAATACCTTACTTATATGATCGTTACATATTCTTGAGAACTAATCATTAATTATATAAATATGTTGATTGCTACATAATGTCCGCTGGATGCTTATATTAGGAGAACAAAATATTCTCCTTATATGTGATACGTAATATTCTCCATATCTGTTTTATTATTGAATGATTTACTCATAATATACTTCCATATTTATATGGTTGACCGAGGATCACCATAATTGTGAGCCGGAAGATCTTTGAATAAAAGGAAAGACGAGACTACGGATGCTATATATATTGGACAAAGGACCAGACGAAATGTGTGCTTGACCGAGCTTATATTGAGAAATATACACGAGAATATTCACTAAGTCCAAGGCACCTGAACCTGCTCACGGAGTTCCAGACAGAGTTTCTTTTTCCCTTCTTCATATTGTAATTGGGTTTTTGAGGATTGGCTAAGTGTAGCATCCTTGGGTTGGTTAGTGTGTTGTGAGAGCTTTGTTGTAAAGCTGAGAGGCTCTCTACCCGCAAGGTAGAGATGCATAACTCTTCCTAGAGAGGATAGAGTTGGGGTGGCTCAAGGGTAGACTAGGAGAGTTTCCCTTGTAATCATTCAAAGGCTTTTTAGTGGAGTTGTTCAAATTCCTCCGAGGGAGGTCGAGGTTTTTTAATCCCTTTGAGCCAAGGGATTTTTCCTCGTTAAATCCTTGTGCACTTTACTATTTCTTAATTCCCTGGACCCCACACTAGAACTGTGCGAAAAACTGCCACGGTTCCACACACACACAATTCACCCCCCCCCCCCCCCCCTCTTGTGTTGCTAACCGTTTCATCAACACGCCAACTTACATACCCGTTTACACGCCAAGTTTATTGTGTATGTGCACACATAATTAATTTTCTTTGTAGTAAGGATGTTGTTTGTGATCTCGGACTGTTTGTGACCCCGAGAGTGATTTGTGATTAACATTTATAACATATACATATACACGTATACGTATACGTATACGTATACATATACAGAGAAATGATCGTGTCCAGCAGCCCCCAGTTCAAACACCGGCCAAACATTTCAATTTGGGGTACTTATCAGTGGAATTTTTTGATGAAAATTTTTGAGGATGTTCCACATCAAGTCTAGTTTATCCATACCAAAAGTCAGCTCAAACTACGATCGGGACGGCAGTCTAATCAGTTCTTGAATTTGACTTCGTTTTTATATGTATATTTTGGCGCAGTCAAATTATAAAAATGATTTGACTGCCTTCCCGATCGAATTTTGAGCTGAAAATTGGTATGGTTAAACTATACTTGATGAGGAAAATGATCAAAACCTTTCATCAAAACATTCCACATGGAAGTGCCCCAAATGGTGATGTTTGGACGGTGTTCGGACCGGGAGCGGATGGACAGGATCATACATATACATATATATTGGGTTTGGTTAAGAATATAAATACATACGTAGCTTCCTGAATGGAGTTATTGCTAAGAAGAAAGAAAGTTAATACGTAGCTTTCTAATGGTGCTCAAAGCATCATGGAGCTTAAATTAAGTTACTGTTTTAGTACTCAGGTAGCTTTTCTTTTTAGTGGTGCTCAAAAGCCTTAAAGCTTTGACTCACCCATTTTCTATTTATAAACAATGCAACACACATTCTACATACTGGTGATTACAATCCACTACACACATACATGCATGTGTAACTAACCCACTACACCACTACGCGCACACAATACATGCATGCGTAATTAACTAAATGTAAAATAACTTAATATGCAACTTAACTAATTGACCCAAATTAGACTGACACTAATGTAACGGCACATACGCATATCAGTACCGCTACAACACATGCACGGTATCACGCGACGCACACTACTTGGCATGACTCATCCCGCCGTGCACTCACACTCTAGTCTAAAATGCATCAATGACTCAAAATAAATTAAATTAAACATGATGAAATTATAAACAACAAGGTTAATTCCAACAATCACCCCCTTAAACTTGTTGTCATTTATTTTGAACTCCTCGCGGACCATCACAGCAGCGCCGGCTCGTCGTCGTCGATCGCGGCGGCGACATGTGCCTGTACCTTCCTTGGTGTTGTGCAATCCTTGGAGAAATGCCCATACTCTTGACAATTGTATCATCGAACCTTACGGATGTCGAACGTACTCTTCTTCTTTTTGGTGCGGCCGCGGTAGCGAGAAAGCCACTCCTCCTCCGCGAGGATCAAGCGACCTCCACCGCTATGGTCGCCGTTGTCGAAGCCGTCGTTCGCATCTTTCCTATCCTCCGTCGTTTTGAGCCTTCCCACAAGCTCCTCCATGGACATGGATTTAAGATCAAGAAGTTGCTCAATTGCTAGAGCTACCTGGGTGTACTTAATTGGATGGAACGATGCGGAGTAATTTCTTCACGACCTTCACCTCCTCGAGAGTCTCACCGAGGGTGCGAACCTTGTTGGCGAGCCCGTTCATGCGCATGGCGAGCTCGTCGATCATCTCCCCGCTCCGCATGCGGACGACATCAAATTCCTTGAGTAGAGTTTGTGCCTTGGCCTCATGGACACGCTCATCGCCCACACACATGGATTTGATGGCGTCCCATGCCTCCTTTGCCGTCGCCTTCACGGCAAGCGTGGAGTGCATCTCCGGTGGTACGGCTCGCAGAATCGCCGCAAGTGCCACCCTATCCTCGGTGAAGCTCCCGCCACCCTCGACGGCATCCCACACACTTTGGGCCTCCATGTTCACCTTCATGATGAGCGCCCACTCGAAGTAGTTCGTCGCCGTCAACGTCGGGTAGACAACGGTGCTGCTGGCCTGGTGCACGACACGCTGCTGTACCACCATGTCACGGCCGCCTCGCCGCATTGGGCTCCGCCCACGTCATACCGGCGAGCGTGAGGGAGTGCGCGAACCTTCGCCTACCATGGCTCTGATACCAAATGTTGGGTTTGGTTATGAATATAAATACATACTTAGCTTCCTAAATGGAGTTATTGCTAAGAAGAAAGAAAATTAATACGTAGCTTTCTAATGGTGCTCAAAGCATCATGGAGCTCAAATTAAGTTACTGCTTTAGTACTCACTCAGCTTTTCTTTTTAGTGGTGCTCAAAAGCCTTAAAGCTTTGACTCACCCATTTTCTATTTATAAACAATGCAACACACATCCAACGTACTGGTGATTACAATCCACTACACACATACATGCATGTGTAACTAACCCACTACACCACTACGCACACACAATACATGCATGCGTAATTAACTAAATGTAAAATAACTTCATATGCAACTTAACTAATTGACCTAAATTAGACTAACACTAATGTAACGGCACATACGCATATCAATACCGCTACAACACATGCACGGTGCCACGCGATACACACTATTTGGCATGACTCATCCCACCGTGCACTCACACTCTAGTCTAAAATGCATCAATGACTCAAAATAAATTAAATTAAACATGATGAAATTATAAACAACAAGGTTAATTCCAACAATCACCCCCTTAACCTTGTTGTCATTTATTTTGAACTCCTCGCGGACCATCACAGCAGCGCCGGCTGGTAAGGACTTCCAGATCTGAGCCGTCGTCCGACCACCTCTGTTTGATGTGGTTCCCGGTGGTACGGTATTTTTGCTGAAATTTTGTGAGCACCTTCTCCATGAAATTTAGTTTATGTCCCAGCAAATTTCAGCTAAAAATTCAACTGGAAAAGCACTCAAATGATTTTTGGAAGATAACTGTGCCAAATTTACATACTCCCTCCGGTTCTTATTAAAGTTCTCACTTTCCTTTTTGGGATGTCCCTTATTTAAATTCACACTTCCATTTTAGGAAACAAAACAGTGCAAAACAGTGCCAAACAGTGTCCAAACAGTGCCAAACAGTGCACTCCACAGTAAAGTCAAATTCATTTTCTTAATATGTGTGAAGTCAAACTGGGAACTTAAATAAGAACCGGAGAAAGTATAAAACACAATGATCTTTTAAAAGTTTACCAATTTGTTTTTATATAAAGGGTCTAACAGGTGAATATTTACCTATATTTTTTAAATGACTTTTTTCTTGTTTAATTGCATGACTCTAAATAAAATAAAACATCAAATTCTTGAAATATCGATTTCAGTAAAATATCGATTTTTAGCGTAATATTATTTACTTAATTGATATAGTTTATGCATATTGTATTCGTGTTAGTGCTAGAATAATTTAAAGTTAATTACTTATGCAATAAATTCTTTTAAAAAAGTCAAAAAGAAAATGAATTCTAATTTAATGTCAATTATCATTTATATTTTGGATCCACTTCACACAACCTGAAAACTATCTAACTTGTGTCTATATATTGTGATATCTTTTTTATCTATTTAACATAAATTAAACTTCAAAAGAATAGGATTATGTTTTTACACAATAAGTATCCTATGTCTATAATCAATAAGTATCCCTAAGTATCTTTAGGGTAATTTCTATAGAAAAAAATGAATTTCTAAGTGGCGGTTAGAGGTGGTTCGGTATGGTATACTGAATATTTTCTATCATATAGCTTTGTCGTATCAAAACTTTCAGTATACAAAATTTATATAACGTTAACTTACCGAAATTTTGGTATACCGTATTTCAGTATACCAAAGTTTCGATTAGGTAACGGTACGTATCGGTAAATTATCATAGACTAACGAAATAAAAAAATAGGTGTTATCAACGACATACTTAATCCATTATTAAAATGTTACAAAATACAAATAATAATCTATTAATGTCATATTCAATAGTTAACAATATTAATTATTATTCGTATATTTAAGCAATTCAACATACCACATATTAGAAAACAACACATTCTCCTAAAGTAATTTAAATCAATAGTGATCTCTAACAAAAAAAATTACACAAAACATATAAAATCATTTGTCCCTAATATGTTATTGAGTATTTAGTCATTTTTATAATTTAAAAAAAAACATTTGAGTAGGACTTTCGGTATACGGTATACCTTTGATTTTCAAAATATATACCAATACCATACCGAAGTAATTCGGTACAGTACCATATCATATCGAAAATGTCGGCATACATAAATTTTCAATAAAACTGATATTTTTTGATATGGTAAATGCGGTATACCGAAATTTCATTATTTTTCTCCAGCCCTAGTCAGTGTACCCCTCAATCCATCCGTGCATGAAATGAAGTAAAATTGTGGTACGCATTCAAAACGTTTTATATATGTATACAGTAATACAGTATATATATATATATAGAGAGAGAGAGAGAGAAAGAGAGAGAGAGAGAGAGAGACGATCATGTGAGAAGTCACCCTTAGGCTGGATAGTTGAGAAGTCTAACTTATAAGCTCAAAACACGACTTTTTAACCAATAAATTATAACTTATAGATCCCCTCCAAAAAAATTACGAAAATGTCATCGCGTCAAAATAACTCGAGAAATCTGGAAAATATTTTTGCAGAAAGTTCGTGTTTTTGACTTATAAGTTAGACTTCTCATTTCTCAGCCTAAGGGCACTTCTCAGCTGATCCGCTCCCTATATATATATATATATATATATATATTATATACGTGCCTGAATTAGCTAGACTTTTATTAATTTATTTTTTCGAACAGCTTGTCTAGCTTTGACACATTGTAAGAGGTCATGCGGTCATGCCTTCTTCAATAGGGTCTAAAATAAGTACATGTTCAAATATACATATACTAATAATTATTATTATTGTTATTAAAGATGTATTTACAAAATGCAACCAAGATGTTATTCATGTTATATTTAACAGCCACGGGAGGGTGGGCTATAAGGATTCTGGGGAACAGAACCGGTTTTTCCCTCCATGGTAGTGTTCCTGAACTTCGAGTTGATAGCGTGCTCCCCCTATTCTTTATGAAGGGTAAATTATGCACACAAAAATTCAGCTAAAACTTCAATCGAGAAGTTAGTCAAATAATTTGTTAAAATTAGCTGCGCCAAAATATACATATAAAACGCAGTTATTTTCAAAAACTTATTTGATTGCTTTCCTATTGAATTTTAAGCTTAAATTTGGTGGACCTAATCCAAAATTCATGAAGAACAAGCTAAAAAAATTCATCAACAAATTTCACCGGGAACCGCCCCAAACGACGGTGGCTGGACGGAACATCTCGTCCAAAAGGATGGACATGCAAGATCTTTTTCCTATTATATATATATATATATATATATATATATATACACACATGTGTGTGTGTGTATAGGGGGTGGATTATAATATAAAGAGGCATTCCCATGAAAAGTGAGAAGTGATCTAATCCTTTGATCACTTACAAATGGATGGAATAGATATATTAAAACTCGTGATAAACCTAATGTGTATTACATAATAGTAAAAGTGCTTTTGCGATATGTAAGGGTAGTGTACATTCACTCTCTTAAAAAATATCACAAAACGATTTCGATAGTTGTTATTTTATTTTTGAAACGTGATGCACTTTTGTGTTAGTGCAATGCACTTTTCTTCCATAGTCATGCACATATAATAAATTATACGAATATTACTAAATTTGGTTTGAAAAACCGCAGTGGTACAAACTAGAAGGAAATATGAAATAATCTTATTGGGACGGAGGAAATATTCACCATTGTTATGTCTTTATGTGTAAAAACTAGGGGTCTAATTTAGGATGTAGTACCGATGTAGTAAGTGTTTGGTGTAGTACTCCCTCCGTCCCGCTAGAAGGTTCCTGTCTACTATTCACATGGTTAACTTAAATCATTTTTAATCTATTACTTTATAAATCATTTTTTTATGAAAATTTACATTTTTTGTCAGACTTTGTAGCGGTTTTAATGTAGTTTCTGAATATGTTGATTTTATTTACTAAAAATAATCAGAATGTGAACAAGGATTAAGTTGCTTTATCGTCAGTCAAGCATCGTAAACCGCCAACGAGAATTTTCTAGCGGGACGGAGGGAGTATGATATAATCCTTTTGGGATCGGTCTAGTATGTGTAGTTTGATAAATATAATGTCTATTTTATGTGTATCTTACAAATATAGAAATCTGATATGAGATAGAAATTTTACGTTTTTTATATCTATATGTAAGGTTTGGTGCCCAATTTCATAGAATATACTCCCTTAGTTTCCTGTCATACTCTTCATTTTGGAATGTCTCAAAATAAGTATTATATTTATTTGAGAAAGTACAGCCAAAAAAAGTATAATATTTATTTTTTGGATAGAAATATGTGGTCCATATCATTTCACTCTATTATATTCAAACTTCAATCACAATTGTTTTTCTTTTTTTCAAACACTTTATTAATAGTTGTGCCAAACCAAAACAAGACATAAAATGTGTCCCATGTATTGTATCTTCTACTAATATAATTGATATGCACTAATTAGTAGTGCATAAATGTATATTTTTATGATTGATTTGTGTGTATTGTTTACCGTTTTATTTAGTTTGTAAACATTTGTGTGATTTTAGTTGTAATCGTATTTTAATTCTCATTTATAAGTTGTAAAGTATAGTTAGGATTTGTGGTGTTGGAAAGGAAGACTTTGAAGAGAAGAAAACAAGAAATTTGACTGCCCAGGAGTGAAACCCGACCGGGTAGAAACCTCCACCCGGTCGGGTATGATTTAACAGACGAAATTGCCAAGAAAGTCACTGGACCCGGTCGGGTCCCCTACTTGACCCGGTCGGGTCAGATGTGACCCGGGACAAAACGACGTGCGAAGATCACCAGAACGTGGCGAATTATCTGATTTTGACCGGACCCGGTCGGGTAAGTACTTGACCCGGTCGGGTACCCGGCCAAAGGTGTTGAAAAACACCTATAAATAGCACACTTTTTCTTCTCTAAAAATCATCTCTTCTTCCATACTCTTTAGCTCAGTTTAGAATAGCATTTCTTTATATTTTTCTAGCTATGTTTAGTCTCCAAATGAGGAGCTAAACTTCCAATCTTGGTGTTGCTCTTGAAGCTTGTTGATTATTAAAGTTGTGAGTTATTTTCTTAACTTCTTTCCTTGAATATTAATTAATAGTTCTTTCCTTAATACCATATCTATATTAATGTTGGGGAGTGTTGCTAAGATGACAATTAGTTAACATCTCGACA